TTGTTCCTCTGCAGTAACTGCTGGATTTTCAGATTTGCCTCATCCTTCCAAAAGCAGCTCTAGCTTTGTTCAGACGTGACTGTATGTGCTCTTCGATCCATCCCTGTAGGGACACTAGACTGCCAAGATATGTGAAGTGTTCTACATTTTCAAGAGTTTGGTTATTTATGGTCACTGGTTGTTGGTTTGGACTGCTTATCATGATCTTAGTTTTATTTGTATTTATTCTCAGTCCCACCATTTCTGCTGTGCTGTGTAGTCTGTTACATTTTTCTTGTATATGTTCATGTTTATGTGATAGGGGTGCTATATCATCTGCAAAATCAAGGTCCTCAAGCATGGTGAATGGAGTCCATCGTATGCCTCTTAATATCCTGTCTACTGTGTTCTTTAGTATCCAGTCAATCACAAGGTTGAAGAGGAGAGATGACATAACACATCCCTGTCTTACACCTGTCTTTACTGGGAAAGATGAATTAATAAAACAAAGATATGGGAAGTGTGTTATGACTAGGTGTTGAAACACTAATTTGAAGTTTAGGATATCCTAATCGTTTTGCTCAAACATTTTAGTCTTTCCCCTCCACGATAGAACTATTTAGGATTAACATTTCAACAGTGAGAATCTCACAGGTTCAAATCCAAGATATCTAAGTAATCGGTAAGCACTAAGTAATCGGTACTCCACTGTAGAAGGATGTGTGATTTTCTCACTGGAGAAATAGATATTCACGGTATACCCATGAAAGCCTGTTTCGAAGACTATCTACATTCATTATGCTTGCAACACGGCAATACAGTCATGTTTCCATGATAAAAGGACATCTGATGGGTGATGTGGTCCGTTCGACGGTCGCTTATCGATAGGAGATGATGATCATAATCTCACTAACTTTCCAGATTGTTGGATGCATGACATGTGCAGATGTCCCAGTTGATACTGAAACAAATTCTGCAATAGAAATATTTTGTACTTACATCGTGACAGTAGAATATCACAACAAAATATGAAAGAAATTTGGGGCGAGTCAGATAAGTTAACTATTTTAAATTCCAGCGCTTCTAGAGTTCCTCATCGTAAAATCACATACACATGTTTTCGGCGATATCAAACCACAAATTTCAATATGTTTGTGAAATTTTGGCTAGCACCAGATATTTATCACGCAAACAAACACGCTCATGCTTCAGAAAAACTCAACAACAAGTAGTTGTTTCTCTAAATGCAGAAGTCCATCTCACCTGTATCTAAATAGCTGGGCATGGCTTAGCAAAAGATAATGGACGAGTATATCATCGTCTTTTGCCCGAAGGTATTTGGTTCAAATCCTAATCAAGACAGAAGTTTAAAATTAATCTGAATCTCCATGCATAATAGCTACCAGGACATGTCGAAGTCGAAGTGCATCTGCCTGAGGCGAAAGGAACCAACAGTCTGCATACAAATGAGCCAGACTTGTACCAAGTTTCTGTTTCTGTTTAGACAATGGATGAGCATCATGGGACAAGGGTAGTATCCCATATGTGTTATGTTCCATTTATAACTCAAGCGTGAGTCAGAAAAATCACAACGCAGTGCGCGAACTCTGTAGCACCGGCGAGGATCCTGAATTGCTCTAGGTAGATTTTGAACAACAAACTTTGCTCAGGCAGCGCTGTTTAGCTATTCTTTTTGATTTCCAACTGCCAAGAGATTTTTTTACGTTCGCTACAATACACTATGGCATTCGATTTTACTACCCAGAGACCAGGGGAAATAACTAGAAAATATCCAAGCCTTCATCGAGGCCTGAACCCGGATATCCGGCACTCGAGGCGGACGTCATTCCTCGAGACCACTCGGTCCCCTTTTATCATACAAACCCAACTTTTAGAACAAGACTGAAGTCCAGGGACATGGACAAACAACCAGAACTTTCCAACACAGCTTACAGCAGGTGAGCGCTACGAACAAGAAGATCAAGAAGAAGGAAGAGGGCAGTAAGAAAAAGAAGACAAAGAAAAATGTAACAGTATCTTTTTTCTTCTTCTTTTCTCTACTCCTCTAATACCTCGATGTGTCAGGGCAGAGAGAGATCTCTGGAACGAACCCCTCTGTTCGCTTCGTGCGAAGTATTTTTTCAATGTCTATGATATTCTGCGGTCCATGTTCTGTGTGGTCGGCCTCTGGCTCTGTTACCGTTGTATATGTACAGCATTGCTCTCTGTGGTGCCCTGTCAGATGCCAGTCTTGTTACATGGCCAAATCATTTGATTTGTTGTCTCCCTATAAAGTTCAGTGTTGGTTCTGTGCCGACTATCTTCCTGATATAATCGTTCATACGTCAATCTTTTCTCGTTAACCTAGCATAGTACATAAACATTCCATTTCTGTCGTGATCATTTTCCTTCTGTCTTCTGAAGACAGTGACCATATTTGACATTTACAGCATAGCGTTGGTAAGAATAGTGTGTTAAACAGTGTTCTTTTAGTGTTCATATTCACATGCCTGCATTAAATAATTGGGGCCGTTTGAACTAAAACTTGATTGGCTTCATTGCATCTTTGCAAGTATTAGTATCAGCTCCATGAAAACAGCATCATCAGCACTGTACTGTTAGTGAAACAAAACATTACATAAAACCGACATCACAGCACTCGGGGCAATCCCATAGGCGCTTCGTCCCCATCTTCAGCAGCCAGCGAGGAGTTCTGATACTAATAGTGCCAGTAGCATTCTGATTAAACGTCCGTCTTGCCTTTCCTCTTAGCCTTGAGCTTCTGCCAGAACCTCCCGTCACTCCCCCCCCCCCCCCCCTTTTGCATCAATCTCACCAGACTGTGGTGATCCATCTCCTCCTCCGAACTGTACACGCTCTTCCACAAGACACTAACCACGTCTGCCTTATCATGTTTTAGTATTCCACCAAGTTGTGCAGAGCCAGCCAGTCTGTCCGCCTGTTTATTTCCCAACACACTGGCGGGTCCCGTTGAAAAAATCCAGACAATACTCCTCACCCGTGTCCTCTGCAGCGAAGCATGTCACTCTGCACGAAACATACCTGTTCTAATCTTCCTCAGCATGCTTTTGTGAATCAGTTACAATCACGATGTGTGTGTGTGTGTGTGTGTGTGTGTGTGTGTGTGTGTGTGTGTCGCCTCCACCTCCATTATTAAGCTGGATGTTGTGGTATCATATGCTAACAACTATCTAGAACTACAAAGATGAATGCTACGATTTAGCAGATTTGTACAACACAGGACACAGCATGGAACGATTTAAGCCGGGTTGTATAAATATGAACAACTATATGTGGGTTCTAAATTCATTTAATACCAGTGTGCTCCCAGGACACAGGTCCCAACAACGGTACCCTATAGTGCTGAAAGCAGCAACACATATCAGTCAAATAATGCATAACATAATCAATAAGGGTCATTAAAAAAACACATGTCAATAATACAGTGACTGTTCGATCTATAAAAGTCAGAAGGATACATGTCAACGATTGGTAATATTTCACTTCTTCTTCTTTTTTTCTACGTTTTCTTCTTCTTCTTCTTCACAAACTATGTGTATGTATGTAGGTGTAGCCTATGTATGTATGTATGTATGTATGTATGTATGTATGTATGTATGTATGTATGTATGTATGTATGTATGTATGTATGTATGTATGTATGTATGTATGCATGCATGCATGCATGCATGCATGCATGTATGTATGTATGTATGTATGTATGTATGTATGTATGAATGTATGTATGTATGTATGTATGTATGTATGTATGTATGTATGTATGTATGTATGTATGTATGTATGTATGTATGTGTGTGTGTGTGTGTGTGTGTGTGTATGTATGTATTATGTATGTATGAATGTATGTATATATACATGTTTGTATGTATTTATGTATGTATGTGTGTGGTATGTGTGTGTGTGTGTATGTATGTATGTATGTATGTATGTATGTATGTATGTATGTATGTATGTATGTATGTATGTATGTGCATGTATGTATGTATGTTTGTATATATGTATGCGTGTGTGTATGTGTGTGTATGTATGTATTTATGTATTTTTGTATGTATGTATGTATGTATGTATGTATGTATGTATGTATGTATGTATGTATGTATGTATGTATGTATGTATGTATGTATGTATGTATGTATGTATGTATGTATGTACGTAAGTACGTACGTATGCGTCGATATGTTTGTACTTATGTGAATGTGTATGTGTCAGCATGTGCGAACATGCATGTTGGTGTGTGTATGTATGCTAGTTTTTGCAAGGAGATGTAAGAGTGTATGCAAGCATGCATGAGTATGTATGTGTGTGTATGTATGTGTGTGTGTGTATGTATGTATGTATGTATCTATGTGTGTATATGTATGCGTATGTATGTGTGTATATGTGTAAGTATGTTGATGTATGTATGTATGTATGTTTGTATATGGTATGTATGTGTGTATTATGTATGTATACATCATCTATGCTTTTGTATATTTTCTTTGATATTCGTATTATGAATACTGTTATAAGAACATAACATGCTGTACAGATGAAACACAACTGCTTTGTGAAAAGATCGTGTTTGGATGGGCCGAATGAAATAAATAAATGTGTGACATTGTGAGAGTCATCAGAATGGGGTTTTATTTTCCTCTTCCTGAATCTAACACTGGCAAATGTCGAGTGCTGCATTGTGTAATGCGTTCACTACCGTCTAGTCTGCACAGCCTAACACATTTTCATGTTTAGGAATAGGAAATATTTATACTAACAAAGAAAAATTGTTATTTATTCTCTTTTCTGAGAAATGTATATACAACACTCCTCCCAGATAGGTTAAGGGAGTGGCTGGATTTACTGACTTATGAATAGTCATCGAAGAACACCATGCATACACACAGGCGCTGCGTCTCTTGTAGCATTTGTATTAAGGCGAGTATGCTAACCCACACACACACTTACATACATCTATATTGCGGCTTATTTCATAACAACAAGGGTCAGTCACAAGTGGACAAGTCCAATGCCCACAGTTGAGAATCACCAATGACTCGCCTTGACACCAAGCTACCGCTGTCAGGTGGTAATGATACACGTGAATCCGCAGTTAAAACACCTTGATCTTGTGTATTTACGTGATTCAGCCGACTGTCACCGAATCTATCGGATGCCTCCTGACATCGGCAACAGTTATAGTCCGCCTCTGAAGATGACTCGGTGTTATCGGGACCACAACAGCAATGTTTAAATGTGTTATCACCGGTCCTTTTATCACATTTGACCTCCTGCGTTGTACAATCACCAGAATCGCTCTCGTAAGCGTTATCGCCCTTCGTTACTTCACTGCCTTTTGCAGTCTCAGTTTCTTGTTTTGAATTTAAAGCTGGACTTTGTGCCAGAGATTGAGTACTGTGTGTAGAACATGTACCAGGGTACACAGGAATCTCCGAAATCTTCTCACAGTCCCCTTGGGATAGTATGTCTTTGAATGTTCCACTCATCTCTATGTCTCTGAAAGTTCCACTCATCTCCTCGTCTGAAACTGTAGAACGAGCCTTGCTGGATGTTTCCCACATAAACGTTTCTTCCGGTATTTCAACGTCTACATTTTGTGGCAGTTCGTAGACTGAACCGGGATCTTTCCCTGAGGAGTGAGAACTGTGTTTCTGTGAGTTTTCGGTTTTCTGTGTGTTGGAACTTTCTGACCCGACATGCAGTATTTCTTGAACATGTGATGAAAATGGCCGCTGATGGTCGTTGTAGTCAACATCGTCCAAAGGTTCGGCAGCTTCAACTCCCGCTAACCAGTTCTGGCAGCGTCTGTTGTTTTCTTCTACATACAGTCGGCCATCTGGGATTCGAACCCGCAACCCTTTAGGATCTGCGTCTGCCAGTGTCGCGGTAAATGCGTTCTGAGGTAGATCTTCGGCTCGTATGATATGTTCACTTCTGGTACGATGAATCCTTGCCCGTGGACGTCTGACGAGCCGGCTGGGTTTGTTTCCCGACAAAGACACCGTCACTCTGGACGTTTCCAGTAAATCTGCGACAGGCGAGAGAGCACCTAGAGCTCGGCTCGAAGCATCTAGTACTTCCACACCATCTGAATGAATGCTTTTTGGCGAGGACGAGACGAAATCTCTCCAGCAAGGAGGTTTTGGAGGTCGCATTACGCCCACAGTTGTGAAGCGTACTGAACTCATGACAGAGTTGTAGACAAACTAGTACGGCAACGTTCTGAAGATGCGGTATGAGAATTTGATGAAGACTGTTGACTCTCACATTCGCTGCTTATGCATTGTATATCTTTATTAGTATAACGGGCTGTAATCAGTAAAATAACACGAACTGTAATAATACGTGTTAGATTTAACATTTTTCAACATTATCAAACAGACAATACATTTGACATTAAAAGCACTAAGCTTCATAGACAGAAATCTGCCTGTTTTGTGTACTGCAGAGCGTAGTTACCTATTCTTTGTTCATTTCAATGTTTCAAGCTATGGTAGATTTTAGAGCACTGAAGTCAGCAACGGTGGTATTTATTGTAACTTGCATAAACAATATTACTTTCCAGAACTGCCGTTGAAACGTTGCTCCAAGATTTAATAAATGAAACGATTCACGTAACTTTTGTAATGATACAACGTCCTGCGTAGCCATCATTGGCAAAAGTAAGTGCCGTCAATAAAATAAAAGTGATGTTTTGATAAAATAAACACAAGATGTGAACTAATCTCCAGATAACCCGGCCAGGCTGAGCGATAAGCAAACACCAGCCTGATGATGGTTAGTGGGTCGCGCACGTGCTGCTCCAGTCAGGCGTACAGTGTTGGCAAACTCAGCACGTGCTGAAGCCAAACAAACACCAATAAATGGAGAACGTAAGTACCCGCCTTTCGCTGAAGTGCGACTTTTTTCTCACACTTGTTCTATGATTGCCTATTTAATCCTGCCTGATCTGCACGCTGCAGAGAGATACACTGGACTATGGCTGTTTTCTCAACCTAGAAATCTCATCTACTCAAACGATCTGAGAACGCAAACAAGAGGTGCATCTGTGTTTCCTGGCTTCGTCTTCTTTCGATCGCTTTCTCAGATGATGATACCACCAGACCAGCCATATGACGAACTCTACCACTTCCTCGCTGAACTAATTTCTCGATCTGGATGGCATATGGTTCTGATTAGCACAGGCCTGTTGCACTACACGAGGTCAAAGGTTATGTAAATACGTGATTACCAACCACATGGCACTGACTACTAGAAGAAAGTTGGTACGCCTCAACAAATCCGAGTTTATAAAACCTTTCTGTTGAATTATCCTTACAGATACAAAAAAAGTAGCATTAAAGTGCTTGTCATTTTCGGATAATGAAATTTACATAACCGAAAGCTGTGAAAAATGAAACAGGTTATATCTTTCTTGATGAGATGAAATTAACACCAGAATTTGGTTTTGATTCACCAGGACGTTATTCCTGCCAGACGTCTGAGTGCAGGTAACGTCAAACGCTTTGATGGGAGAAGCACTCCACAGCACCGGAAATTGCCGGCAATCGCCATGAGGTAAAGAAGACAAACGGAGTCCAGGCGTGAAGACTCGCTGGCACAGGCAGGCCGATCGTTGCCTCACACAATAAACAGCAGCAGTAGCAGCAGTAGCAACAGCAGCTCACCTGACCCGCCTCGTTTCCACGCTATGAACTCACACAGCTTCTGCTGGCAGTCCCTCTCAGATGCTGGGTGTTGATCTGGCGGTGTTTGGAAGAGAGAGAAAAAAAAGGAAAATTGAACACAGGTAAAGCAAAACTGGGCTGGGGTGTAGGGGGAGAAAGGGGCATGAAAGACAGAGAACTGTAGTGTGAGTAGACTGTGTCGGTTTATATTAACACGGTTGCTGGCGATAAGTTTCGAAGGAAGTAGGAGGGAGGGAGCGGGAAGGGGAGAAGGGGGCGGGAGGAAGGGGAGATGGGTGGGAGTCGCCTGCAGAAATGTTTGTACTCGAGCAGACGCGAGGAAAACCGTAAAACGCAAAAATCGATGACGTCATTAAAAAAATCACACTAGACAAGTTGTGGAGAAACTGTTACCACTGATTGCTTCTGTGATTATTTTTTACACTGACATGTAACTTATATTTCCTAGAAGTGATAGTTACTGATACGTCTTTCACCTGCAGCTCTTGGTCAACTCTATTTTTGTGTTGAAATATAGCCACGTAAGGTCATTATAATGATGGCAGTAGTAGAAGTAATGGTAGTAATCGTAGTAGCTAGCAGCAGTAATTAGTATTAGACGTAGTAAAAGCAGCAGTGGTGGTAGCCGTTGCAGTAAAGTGTGAATAGCATTCTCTGCTCCATGTCCATCGCAGCCATAATCTTTAGTGCATTTAGACATTTTTGAGCCCTTGTCACAAACCCCTTTATGTGATCCCTGAGAGACAAACTTCTGTCAAAATCCCAGGTACCGTAGTCTGCTGTCTCTCAGTAATAGTAGCAGTAGTTGAAGCAGCCGCAGCAGCAGCAATTAGTAATAGTCGTAGTAAGCAACAAGCTTCTCATTTGTAGGGATTTCAATGCACGGATAAATGAATGGGACAGTACTCTGGGAAAACCGACAGAGAGTTGCCCTTGCTGACGCCATGGTTGATTCAGACCTTGTCTGTTTAAATGATGTGAGGCTAACTAGAATGGCAATGAGGCCGGGCGATACAGACACGGCTATTGACCTGGCTCTGGTAATCCAGTCAGCAGTACTAGACACCAAATGGACTGTCCTGGACAATCATGAAATTGACCATCTGCCATGTTCGGTATTGATTTCAAAATCCAGGAAAGTCAAGGCTTCAAGAGCTTCTAGACCATTCAAGTATGAGCGGACTAACACCCTTCTTGGACTCCTCTGACAGAGGGCATGTAAGAGGGCCAACAGATCTACTTTTGTGGAGCCTCCATGGCAGACGTCAGAAGTTGAACAGGCATGGAAGCTAAATAGAGCTGCAGTAAAGCGTTTAAAGAAAGTGCGACAGACAACCCTAAGCTCACAGAAGGAGTTGGAGTGCGCGGCAAGAGATAAGAAAGATAAGATACGGTTTTTCTAGCGCTGTGCGGCAGAGGCCAAAATAGGCCAATGGGAGCATTTTATTGATGAGACTGGAAGCGATAAGACATTGGGAAGCTATAAAGGCAGATGCTCAAGAAAGATCGGCCCAGCGTAGTACGAGCTATTCAGAGAGATGACTGTATGTTATTAACTACAGACAAAGAGAAGGGGTAGGCTTTCCTGAAGAGGTTTATTTCACAGACAGACCACAATGATGGAGATAACAGTGGGAACAAACTCACAGGGAGCAAGTACAGCGGGGATCTACCAGTCGTCAGTAGAAATTATCCTCGTCGACACGCGTTTCGGCCCACGATTCCTAGACGCATTCGGAGGTGGGCCCTCCTGAGTTCATGAAGCTCAGGGCTGGTTCCCCTCTGTACGGAATTACCGGATGGTGTTTTACTTTCGGCCAGAGATAGAGCTAGAGAAGATCTGGCAGCCATCTTAAAGAACAAACCTTATTAAGACAATCTACAGGTGAAAGATGTAAAACGTGTTTTGAAAAGGGCGAAAGAAACTGCACCTGGGCCCGACGGGGTTAGATATTCCCACGTGAAAGACATGATTGGTGCAGACCTGTTTGCTTCAACCACAGCATCAGGACAGCTTCAGCCCCAGAAGAGTGGATGCACAGCTACCTGATTTCACTTCCTAAGCCTGGCAAGAATCATCAACACTCGGGGGCTTTAGGGTCATAACCTTACAAAACACCGTTGGTAAAGTGCTGGAGAAGATAGTGGCGGGTAAGTTACAAGAATTTTTTGGAACAGAGAAATCTCCTTCCACGAGCATTATGAAGTTATCGGCCGGGGAAGGACACATGGTCAAATGCAGGCACTTTTGCCTTTGATACCTTCGAAGGTTTCTAGAAGAGACAGGAAACGGTGGCAGCGGCACTTGATTTAGAAGACGCTTACGAGAGAGTCATATACAGTATCTTAATAAAAGCGCTTATGGAGAAGCGAATCTGACCTTGGTTGGTGAATTGGATAGCAGCCGTTTTGTATACTCGCCGGGTAGCTCTCCGCCTGGGTTCATGGACCTCTGAACCATGTATTAAAGCTCCGGGACTGCCACGGGAATCTGCAATTTCACCTGTACTATTTAGTGTTTTTACGAGCAAGATTGCCTGCCAGGAAACACCTGTAGTTGGCAGAATATGACATTTGCAGATGATGTTCTTGTATATAAGGAAAAGGGGGGGGGGGTGGGTGGGGAGAAGGGAATCAAATAGCGGAATAGTTACAGGCAACAGTAGATAAGGTAATCGACTAGTGTACAGAGATGAGTGCTGTTATAAACCCAGAAAAGGCAACCGTCCTGTGGTGTTCTTTGGACAACAGGGTTTTAGAGCTGATGTTCCCAGACTCAAAAAAAAAAGAAAAAAAAAAGCAGACTGCGCTACCTGGGGATCACCTTTGACAGAAGTTTGTCTTTCAGGGATAACATAGAGGAGGCTTTGACAAGGGCTCAAAAATGTCTAAATGCACTAAAGATGATGGCAGCGATAGACATGGAGAAGAGAATGCTGTTCACACTTTACCAGAACTTAATCATCTCAGTGATTGGTTATGGATCGGGGCTACTCACTGTCTCGAAGATTCAGCTAGAGAAACAGAATGAAGCTATGCGGCTGATCCTAGGTTCTACAAGAGATACCCCTACTGTGCATGCGATACATCCTTGCATTGCCGACTATTGCAGATAAAATAAAGGTGCTGCAGGCTAAGTCATACCTCAGAGTAGCTGCAGATAAGGAACATCCTCTTTATGAAGTTTTGGCTGCAGGTAAGGGTCAGAGGCTGAAAAGGGGGGAAATAGTGGATGGCTCATCACAGAAGCCACAATAAGACAAGAATGCATGCTGGAGAACATTCGGCAAGAAGAGGAATGGGTCAGAGTACCAGCGGAAACGTCTGACATGTGAAGGGTCATGATAACATTGGGCCGGGTGTGCAGAGAGTGGCCAGCGGGTGCTACGGAGGTTTAAGTCCAACAGTCGATTCACGACAATTCACGCCGAGGTGGTCTGGTTATCTATACGGATGGTTCAGTGTTGAGAGGAAAGAGAAGTGCCTGGGGGTTCGTTGCA